AGCTCCGCCACAGAGCTCAGTGAGCACAGCTCCGCCACAGAGCGCAGCTCCGCCACACAGCCCAGCGAGCTCTCCACGCTTTCAGGGAAAGCCGCTGCCACAGTGCTGGGGCGCTGCTCTCTGATAGTCACACTGCACCAAAGAATCCACTCTGGGATTCCTCAGCACTGCTCTGCGTATTTCAAAAAAAGCGAGTGAGAGAGAAATTCCATTCGACAGCCATCGCTGACCACTGAGGCAGTACACAAAGCCCCAGACCTGCCATTTAGGGGGTAAGGCGGGGTGGGGGGGCATAGGAAATCTGAGCTGCTTCATTCCTGGTCAGGCATCAGCCTGAGCTGCTGTGTCCCGGCCAAAGGAGCCGCTTACTCAGCAGGGCAAGCTTCCGATCTCTAGTACAGCATGGAAACAAGCAGGAGGCATCCTCACCTCAGCCCAGCACTCCATCTGCTCGCCTTCATCCTCAGTAAGTACAGTCTCTAGAGGCATGCTGCGTTTGGAAGGAGAGAGAGTGGGGTAGGGGAGAGGGGGATCTAGATCTCAACAGATTACCCCCCAAAGCCAATGCATGGAGAATGACCCACAGACCGAATATCTTAAACGGTTGTGTTGGAATATCTTCCGACCATTCGGAAAGCTGTCTAGAGGAGCGTTTTCCGCAATTTTGCGCGTTCACCCCTTGAGCACCTGACAGTTGTATATATATATATGTATACATATTTTAAATTTCAGGAATCGCATTAAATAAGCTGCTGTAAATGTTTCACTGGTGAATCTAATAAGAAGCAACCGGACCTTAAGAGAGGGGAATGCTCTGTTCTGAAAATTCACTGATTTTTTTTTGTCTCTCTCTCTCTCTCTCTCTCTCTCTCCGTCAATTTACATTAAATCGGACAAAGTGCTGCATTCCTCAAACAACCTCAGCTCGCGTCCTTCAGAATTCGTGGTTAGATAGACAATGAAATTATTGTGTTTACAAATTTTATTAATTTTTAATAAGGGCCAAAAAGAGAAAACAAAATGACTGGGGTTTTAGGACAAATGTTTGAAATAAGTTCATCTGAGCCTGGATCTGAGTTCGCGGGACTGAACTGTAAAGACGAGCCGGGACATTTAACTACACCATTCCTCGGTTTCAATTCTACCGCAAACCGAAACCGTTCCCTGTTTCGGGCGAGTTATATTCCCCTTGTGTTAATCTCCCTTTGCAAAGATGCACCTATCTCAGGTGTAGGTTATATCATATACGATTGAGGAGGGGGATAGCAATTGTCCCCAACCCCCAGACCCCAGACCCCAGACCCCATCTCGTCTATTTATTTTCACATCACGCTTTGTCTGTAAGTGTTGAGGTGGAGAGGAAACAGTCGCTATTCAAGCTTGTCACTTTGCAGATGTTCTTCCCGGAGTCGGTGCAGAACAGGAGACAGAGAATCTCTCAGGACTTTCCACTGATCCTTACAAAGACATTTTTGTGGTTCGGGAGAACGGAACAACGTGTCTGATGGCAGAATTTGCAGCAAAATTTAACGTCGCCTACGATGCAAGGGCCAATAACTATGTAGACGTAAGACAACATTTACACATAATTCCCTCCCTGAAATTAACACGCGAAATACCCTCACCCCCGCGACTTTTACCATCAAAGCCAAAATTGTTTTAAAATCTGTTGTATCTCTAACTGACCTGGTTCACCTTTTGCAATGACTTAACTCGGCGCTCACACGCCCGCAACTTTTGATCTTCTTTTGGCCTCAGCTCATTACAGAACAGGCTGACATCTCGATTCCACGTGGAGCAGGCGTTAAGGGAAAATGCGGAAGCAACGAATCTGAGCTGCAAATTTCCTGGCTGGACGACGCCTATAGTTTTAAGCTCTTTTTTGTGAAGGTAAACTCAACCGGCGCGCTAGGAGGGATTTTTTTTTTAAAAAAGTCGAATATCTAAAACAAACAAAAATAAAACCCACCCAGAAATTGCTGGAGACGCTTAGTGGGACTGGTGGAACCTCTTCCATGTCTGTAAACAACAGCCTTGTCTGATTCTGAGCAGAGATATCCAATTTGAGGTTTGTTCAAATGAACAGAAAATCTGTGTGCACACAGAGAGGGTGAGAGAGGCAATATTATTGTTTAAGGACCTGTGACCTTTCATCAGAAGTGGAAAGTGGTATTACTTTTGACCGAGGGACATGGACAAAACGAAAGTTTGCATAAATACTGCCCCCTCCACACCAGCTCTGATGAAGAGTCATCGAGACTCGAAACGTTAGCTTGCTCTCTCTTCACGGATGCTGCCTGGCCCACTGTCATCTCCAGCATTTGTTGCTTTCAGTTGTAACAACAGATTGGGTGGCAAAAAATGTTATCCCTCCCACCCCAATCCACCGCCAAAGGGAACAGAGGTGGGAGCGAACGAAAGGTGTACCGAGTTGCTGCTGACTGGGGAGAGAAAGTCAAAGGTCAAAGACAAATGGGACGAAAACAGAAATTGCTGGAAAAGCTCAGCAGATCTGGCAGCATCTGTGGAGAGAAATCAGAGTTAACGTTTCTGTTCTGAGGAAGGGTCACTCGACCCGAAACGTTTAACTCTGATTTCTCTCTCAACAGATGCTGCCAGACCTGCTGAGCTTTTCCAGCAACTTCTGCTTTTGTTTCTGCTGAAAACGATTTTCTGTTTTTTTTTGAGAGATAGTAGGAACTGCAGATGCTGGAGAATCTGAGATAACAAGGTGTAGAGCTAGATGAACACTGCAGGCCAAGCAGCATCAGAGGAGCAGGAAGGCTGACGTTTCGGGTCTGGACCCTTCTTCAGAAAATGTTTGTTTTGGCTTGTTTGTGGTTTCTGGCATCCTCAATTCTTTTGTTTTATTGCAGTGGGAAGTAAATGGAGTGTGTTTGGGGGGGTGGGGGGAGGATTTGGGGGATATCTGGAGGTGGAGGGAGGGGAGGGTAGGAGTGATGTAGTTCACTGCCTGAAATTATTGAACTCAGTGTTGACTGTGCAAAGCTGTCAAGTGAGTAGTTTCCAGGGATCATCCGCTGTTCCCCCCAGTTCTGACAAGAGGTCGCGGATTTTGAAATGTTAATTCCCCAACCTCCTGCTCTCCCCAAACAGACGCTGCCAAACCTGCGGAATATCCCCAGCATTTCCTGCTCTGATTTCAGATTTCCAGAGTCGGCTGTACATCTGAGGTTGGCCAATCATTTTTATTGTTGTTTCTCTCTCTTTCTTCCCCATCTCAAACATCAATAAGGGAGACCCAAGCGTTAAATACTGTTAAAAAATGCTCCAAGTGGGAAACCAGTTTGAGGTCAAGTTGTTCGTGTTCTAGACCATCTCTTTTCTGGGACCTGTGGAATAGACTGCATTTTCAAAGGATGGGGATGTCCCGGTTACAGACTGGTGATGGGTATTGTTCAACTTTCCAACAGGAAGTCCGCAACGTGTCAACGAGGCAAGACAGTTACTGGAAAATCAGCAAGGTGCAGTTCGTTTATGACTCGTCTGATACCGCTCATTTCAAGGACGCGGCCAACGGTGAGTTTTTTTTTGCCCGTGGAGAATCCCGAACGGACGCGGCGCTACACCAATGCAAACCTCGCCCTCACCTTTCATTCCGAGGTCGCGCTTTCAGGTGTACGGTCTCGGTGAATCAGGCGATACGGTTTCGTCGTAAGCAGTGGACGTTGTTTGTTTTTATTTCAAAAATATACTTGATTCATCTGTAAGTACATACAAAGGTTCTAAATCGCGTTGGTGCAGAGAAAGACAAACAAACAGAACATTGGAATTTTGATATTTCTCAGATTTTTATTTGTACAGTTGCAAAACAAAATGCATTTTCTACTTAGGCAGGAAACTTTCTGTTCATTTTGGGGCACCGACAGGGTCTGATAACTGAACTGGCAAAAAGAACCGAGACTTTATCAAACTTGTGGATGTGATGACTTCAGTTGCAATGTAGCAGGAGGTTGCGTGTAAAATACTCGGGTTGTTCTGGTCTTGTTTTCATTCGTTATTTCAGTCCTTGAGCTGGATTCCGTTCTGCGCTTCCTAATATTCTCTCCCTAATGAATTTAAACAGCCTTACCTTGCAGCCTTCTGGAAATCATTCGTGGACCTCTATATCAGCTGGAACTATTGTAAAGGGACCAATTGGTGACTTTAATGCCGCGTGTTTTTTTTTAAAAGTCTACATTTAAGGGCGTTCGTTCTTTTTAAGTGTATTCGTTCGAGCCCGCTGTCTATGTGAACATTTAATGCTCATCTTTAACCGTCCGGCAGGAGACGGTGGCGAGCCGCCTACTTCAACTGTCACAGTTCCAGGGGAATTGATAGATGTGTACAACCCAGGGAGAACTGAAATGTTAGACTGAAGTCACACTGACACAGTGCATTAGCACACGGAGAATGCTGGAGAAACTCAGCAAGAACTGTGGAGAGAAAAAGTTAAATTTTCCAGTCCAGTGATGAACGCTGCCTCTGTGCTGCCAGACCTGCTGAGATTCTCCAGCATTTTCTGGGTTTGTTTCAGATTTATGGCATTTTCTGTTCAATGAATTGGCGCATCTCATGTACTGAGGATTTTTTTTTGTCCTAATGTACCTTTCTAATATTAACGAGTGTTGCCCACACAGCTGCTGAGCTATAGTTTGTACACGTTGTCCGGTCTGGTCTACGGCATGCTCCCTGTTAGTTCTTTCCAGGGACTCTGTTTTAGTTTTTTGGTTTGGTGTCTCTCTGCAGCCGGGAAGCACACAGCCAGTTCTCACCTCCTGTCCCTCTTTGTGACCCCCCTGGGCAAGTCGTACAAGTGTGAGGCGCAGGAAACCATCTCTCTGATCTCCAGTGACCACCAGAAAGCTGTCGCTATCCTGCTCTCTCAGATTCACATTCAACCGTTCGGCCTCAAACGGGACTTCATCTTCAGCGAAGGTAGAGAGGCGGGGCTGTATTTTGTTGTTCCTCTGTGACCTACAGGGAGGGGGAAGGGGTGGCAGTTAGCTTGGATGCCTGGTTTGTAATGCAGAGTGATGCCAACAGCATGGGCGCAATTCTGAATTCTGGCTGAGGTTACCATGAAGGATTCTCCTTCCCAATCTCTCCCCTGTGGTGGCCCTCAGGTTAAACCCACTACCAATCATCTCTCTCTAACCAGAGAGCAGTCTTCTGGGACTATGGCGACTTAAGCTTTATAGTTGAATGTTAATTTCCTCATTTCACTTGCGTTTGATTTATGGTAGTCACACGTACCTAAGTACAATGAAAAGTTTTGTTTTGCCTGCACTGCAGGCTGATCACAGGGACACAGTTCATAGGGTGACTGAACAGCACAAGGTTACTGCTGCACAAGAGGTGAGATCGACATTGATTTGAAATTGAAGTGGGAAACAACTAAATACTTCCTGACCCAAGACAACAAGGTGCAGGGCTGGATGAACACAGCAGGCCAAGCAGCATCATAGGAGCAGAGAGGCTGACGTTTCGGGCCTAGACCCTTCATCAGAAAAGGGGGAGGGGAAGGGGGTTTTGAAATAAATAGGGAGAGAGTGGGAGGCGGATAGAAGAGGGATAGAGGAGAGGATAGGTGGAGAGGAAACAAACAGGTCGAAGAGGCGGGGATGGGGCCAGGAAAGGTGAGTGTAGGTAGGGAGTTAGGAAGGGGATAGGTCAGTCCAGGGAGGACGGACAGGTCAAGGGGGCGGGATGAGGTTGGTCGGTAGGAGATGGAGGTGCGGCTTGAGGTGGGAGGAGGGGATAGGTGGGAGGAAGAACAGGTTAGGGAGGCAGGGACGAGCTGGACTGGTTTTGGGATGCGGTGGGGGGAGGGGAGATTTTGAAACTTGTGAAATCCACATTGATACCATTGGGCTGCAGGGTTCCCAAGCGGAATATGAGTTGCTGTTCCTGCAACCTTCGGGTGGCATCGTTGTGGCACTGCAGGAGGCCCAGGATGGACATGTCGTCTGAGGAATGGGAGGGGGAGTTGAAATGGTTCGCGACTGGGAGGTGCAGTTGTTTGTTGCGAACCGAGCGTAGGTGTTCTGCAAAGCGGTCCCCGAGTCTCCGCTTGGTTTCCCCGATGTAGAGGAAGCCACACCGGGTACAGCGGATGCAGTATACCACATTGGCAGATGTGCAGGTGAACATCTGCTTGATGTGGAAAGTCTC